AGGAGGAGTTTACATTATGTTAATTAAGGGACATTTCAGCTCTTTAATGGCTTTTAACACGGAAAAAGGAAGCTTAAGAAGCAGTCATTCATCAGTAAGTGTATTGATATGAAAGAAACACTAATAAATATATCAAACATTTAGCTATCATTTGTGAGTTGATTGAAAATTACCATGTTTTTCATTTTCTCTGACTAGCAACACAGTCCCCTTTACAATGCTATAATGAAAACAGTTGCCTTCATACCAATGCTGTGTGTAGTTTGAGATAATCACAATATCAACAAAAGAGTGGAGAGGAACATACTGGCGGACAGAAAACATAATTTAGCAGTTTAATTATGTGCAGGGAGATGGTACCAGTGCGAAGTCTATGGTCATGCACTGATAGATAAACAGCCCCCAGTTGCTCGAGGGGAATTCTCCTGATAATATCCTGCTGCAATCTTACATTAGCTTACCCGGATATTCTGCGGAAAAAATACCAGTGTCTATTATCCATCTTCTGTTATCCAAAATCATCATATCACATGCCCCCCCCCCGCCCGCCCATCCCTTACATGTGACAGGCCTTACAACCAGTGATGAAGCTTAAGAAATCCCATGTTTGTTGCTTTTACTGGAAAGCATCTCTGTTCTTCTTGCTACTTGTCCTCTGACCAGTTTCCTTTAATTCTCTTTCTTCAGCTTCTCTAGGATCTTTCAGCAGACAGTGAAGGAACTTGCCCCGAAATGTGACGTGAATTTTCTGCTGTCCGAGGATGGCAGCGGGAAGGGGGCCGCACTCATCACCGCTGTGGGCTGCCGCCAGAGAGAGCTGGAGGCGCAGCAGCACTGAGGAGCTCCATACCATCTGTCCTCGAGAAACTTCCTGCTGCTCCACCATGACCTTCACCCGCCGCACTGCCCGACTCACCCACCCACTTGGCAGCCGTGACTCCAACTCCGCCCCACCTCGCTCCAGCCCCCCCGACACAGGCAGAGAGACATGCTGCATGTATAGGGAATTAATATCTAATATTTATTTATACTACAGATGGTTTATTATTTGAATGTTTGTACATTTCCTCAATAGCTTGTCAATAATCTGATAAAACTAAACTCCTTAGCTGTGCAATATTTGTGTATTGCTAATTTTATTTTTATATGAAGGCAAATATATAATTGTATTTATATAGCTGCGGCCACTTTGAACCCCAGAGGTCATTAGGTATTTGCAACACAGACACAAGATAGATAGGCACTTTTTATATGAGAGTTAGAACTGCAGCAGTTAAACTTCATGGTCATGACATGAAACACATCTTTACAGACGCCTTCGGCTCAGAAAAACTGTTCCAAAAGGGCTTGCTGCATAGGGTTGAATGCAAGAGTCACGGCTGTTAAAATCACCCGCATTTTCTGTACAACTTGTTCACACAATGTGTTTGGCTTCTAATCCCTTTCAGTGTAACTATCAGTGTAACTCACATAAGAATTCCAGCAGCACCATCCCATTTTTTCCCGAAGAGCCGAGAGTGTAGAAAAGGCCCGAAGTGGAAGTGTTAGCGTATCATGTTGCTATTTGTGAACTACTATACATTTGGTGTTGTGATGAATTCCATTTTTGCTCATTGTATACGCGAAGAATAAATGTTTATTGGGCCCCAAGAGAGGAGTGGATACTACGAGCGCTTCTGTGTGTATTTGTGGCAGCGTGTTAGTGTGTCCTACTGTTTCAACCTGTAGCTTTCAATGTCCAAAGCTTTGTGGAGACTGCATGCCTTACATTAAGACAAAGGAAAGCACTGGATCTTTTTCTTTTTGTTCTCGCTCTTTTTTTTTTTTTTTTTTTTTACATCAACATAGATTTGTGATCAACACAGTGAAAAGTGAATTCATTAAATTATATTTTGTTGTGGAGTAAATCCTGGTGTCTCTTTATTTAAATGTTGGAGCAGCAGCAGATGTGTGCCTTTAATACTTAAAACTCAATAACAGCCAGACACTTTAAGTTGAGATGATGACCCTTACAAAACGAGGGAGATATTTTCCTAAGCTTAGAACCCACAGGCTAATGCCTGGTGAAGATGCAGCCTCTGGGAGAGATGGCAGAGATGTCAGAGTGCCTCCCTCATGACGCAGAGGACCTACGTGGTGTTTAACAGAATCAACACTGTGTTTTTCTTCTTCTTCCTCTTTCTCATAAATACTTATCAACAAGTATTTCTCTAGCTTCCAGCATACATAATAAAATATGTTCAAATAGGAAACCACATAATACCCTGCTGTCTGTTTCATGGGAACTTTATCACCAAACAAAAAAAATCTACTGCGTTGTTTTCAAACATTTTTACCAACTGTCTTCTAAAAGGCAGAATTTCCAGCCCAGGTTTTATACTATCTGATAATCTGCAGATGTGTAGAGATAAAAAAAATAAAGAAATGTTATGGATTTTTGATAATGCAATTCTTTGGATTGTATTTATGTAGAGTTCCACTTTCGAGGGCTCAACTTTGACTTTTACAAGCCGTTGCACAGCTCGCTTTTAGTGGCTGCATGAATGAATTTAAGACTGCTATTTTAACACACCTTTCATTTTTGCGTGAATATTAAGCCATGCATTTAGTTGACTCAAAAAAAAAAAAACAATGGCTTAAAAATATCTAAAGCATTATAATTACTGATCAAAATATAGTTTGTATTTTATAAGATACTTTATAGGAAGTATTGAATCTTTAAACTTTTTAACTGAACAACTCTACAGGCCTGTCCAACTTTTCTTGTGATGGCTGGACATGCTGTCGTCTTCTGGGTTTGAGGGTTGTTGTTGTTTTTTGAGTTTCTATCTTTTATAGTATACTGCTCAAAAAAAGAGCAATGAATTCTGATATCTAGTATTAAATTAAATATTCAGCCTCCTGACGTTTCGGTTTTAGTGAAGTAAGAATGACAACACATCAGTAAGAGGCATAACAGGGCACATTATAGACTTTACATGTTAATAGTTAAAGAGTAACTCACTCAGAGTAGTCACCACGGAGACTCTAAACCATCACTGAGGCAGAGAGAGAGCATGAATGCAGGTAACAGTCTGTATTATACAGTCAGAGTTTCTAATATTAAACTATCTGGAGAGTGTATTTAAAAATACATTTATTTCAAGTGTATCATACTAAAATAATTTGAAATTAATTTTTTAAGCAAAATAAACATTGAATGAATCTCCTTGATGTTTTGAAACTCATGTATTTCTGTTTTGCTAAGGTTTGACTTCAGTTTTAAAGTCTTGAGAGTCTTTGTTTACTTCAAGTCTTAAAGCAGTAAACAGAATTTGCTCATGAGTTTTGTGTTTACAAACTACTCCGTTTTAAAATGTGAAAAATAACAGATTAAGTCATGCAACATGAACACAAAGTTTTGCATAAACATTCTCCAGCATGCATGAATGAAGGGTTGAAGGGTTGCTCAAAATTTCCTTTGGGAGAACCTCCCCATCCCCCTCCTATCTGTGCCTCACTTTATTTAATTGAACCCTGCCTGGTGTAGAACTGCTGGGCTACCTACAACCCACCTAAAATGTTTAACCAGCCTACCCATATTTGACAACAAGCCTAATTCTCCTTTGCAATAATTCCCTAACTTAACCATTTATATCAAGTAAAAACATGCCTTATCGGTTGAGTACTACAGTTTACTCACTTCAGGTGTTTGTTCTTGAAGCACAGTCCGATCCTGGATCCTCTTTTGTGACTTTATGTAACTCTCCATCCTCACTGACCTTTATTAACCCGGAACAAAGCTACAGCACAGAGAGAATAGCCCTTAAACACACATTCATATGTATCCTGTGCGCAAACTGTACATTTAAACACCCACCAATTTATACATCTGTCAATGATGATTTCATTATGATTTAATATGAATACATTTTCTTTATTACAATGTTATTCTATTCATAGAATGCATTTAATATCAAACTCCTCCATGAGAAACATACAATTAATAAAAAGCACAAGACTTTGTTAAAAACCTTAGAAATTCTTGAAAAAAAAAAACTATTATATACCATCACATAAGTATACTTAAACATCATCTTCTGTGCTTTGGACATTTTTGATTATTCTCAAAATTGTGTTGTTTATACAAGATTTTTTAATTGTATGGCCCCACCTCTAATACATAACTTTTAACAAGTTAATCAAATCCACCATATCTCCTCCTTTTTAAACCCTTTACGGAGTCAGCTTTCCTGGGGAAAACTACAACTCAGCAGAGCGCACAACCACATGACAGCAATAAGAGTTCTGGATCTATCTAAAGGTCTGTCTGCTCATTACTATCAGATATGCTGGATCATTAGCTTCTTTTAAATCCTCTCTTAATAGCTTTACTCTTAATGTTTAACTATCCACAACTACTCTTTTCATCTGATTTGTTTGCTTTCTTTTTTTTCTTGTGGTGTTTTTGTGAATAATTTGTTTAACCTTGTTAATAAAAGTGCCATGTAGATAAAAATTATACATTTTTCAAAAGTCAGCAGAAAAACTTCTTGTATAGTAAAAATGTTACCTTTACCTCTTGTCTTGCTTTTAACTTGACTAACATGGGTGTAAATGAGTGTTTTTATAATGTATTCATCTGTGTACATCTAAATGATTGTTCTTGTAACATTTAACTGATGTACATATGTTTGATTTTTATTTTGAATAACTTTATTCCTTTTTCCTGTTGTCTTGAGCTGCCTGTAATGCAAAGATTTCCCCCATGGGCGATCAATAAAGTTTATCTTTATCTTGTATGTGTGTCAGTTTTAAACCAAATCCAGTAGCCTACAAAGCATGACATGATAACTTTCAAGTTTAGAAATTCAAGTATTCCTCATTAAATGTGCATGCTACATTTTAAATATTGTTCTGTGCTTATCTGGAAATCACGACACGTTTAGTGTGTGCTTACAGGTGTGCATTTCCACGCGTTTCTATCCCTCCATGTTGCTGTCTGTGTGTGTTATGTGAGCCTGTGTGCAGGTATTTGCCCTACTTTCTGCAGGGTGGGAGCCTGTGCAAAAGAACTGCATGTACACTCACTGTTGCTGATGGTTTATGTGGCGTTAAGCCGGAGAAACTCCACATCCCCTTTTTCTTGTGCCTGTCCCCTGTATGTATACGTGGGTCTGGGAGTGTGTGTTTGTTTGAATGTGTGTTTGTTTCCAGCTCTCACCGGGTTGGGTGCGATATTACTGAGGGGCTTCCTGCTGCATCCATCTGCCTGAAAACTAAAGCTCTGAACTGTCACTGCACATCGCAGGTATGTAGTCACGATTTAACAACATGCACTGACGTGGGTGTCATGATTAGTACGTCCTGTAGAGAGAGAAAAAAAGGGTGGTAGCCCGTTAGCTGACATGCTAACTTTACTAGTTGTGTCTCCGGGAATTTGCGCTAGCTAGCTAGTAATCCAGCAAGGTTAGCATCGCACTGAGGCGTGGGAGCATGCTAACAAAGCTGCTGCTGTGTTACGTCAGACTCGTCAGTTTCCATTCGACATTGAACAATGTATGTTTGGGATTACTCGATGCTGATGCTTTCGTTTGCATGTGTAAATGTGAGCATTTCGTGCATATTTCCGAGCGGCAGTCGAGCGGCTAATGTCAACAGCTAACGCTAAGCTAACGTTAGCTTGCCCCCGTCAACCTGCTCGCCAACCTCGGCTGGTCAGTCACCTGTTTACCTGAACTGTCACCTGTATACACCTTACAATATGGGTTTATTATAAAGATAGGAATACCTTGAGCTTCGGACAGCTACTAATTGTCTTAAGTGTTGCATTACGGCCACCCACTGTGCAGAATAGCCTCAGACACTGACCCCAGGAGCTACTGGACTCGCGCACAGGTGCTCCAGATGATGCACGCGGCTTAATTGATGATTCATTAGCAGCTCCTTAATTCTCACCTGTGTCACCTTCAGCTTTGCGACTTGACTCGAAATTGTAACAAATCTGTGCAGAAAACCTGAATCTGACCGCAACAAAAGGAGATACCGTTTGTTTGGGGTTTTTTCTGCTATTTTGATTATTTAATTTGTCTACGAAAACAAAATGTTGAAAAAGTTGTGACGCATTCCCATCGAAAAATCTCGCAGCATGTTACAGTCAAAATTTAGCAATCCAAAGATGTGAAGTTTTTCTGAGCAAAGTTATACATTTGAGAAGCTGGAGTAATGAAATGTTTGGCACCATTGTTTTATGTTTACTGAAATAAATGTCCAGCAATATTTGTGGTTTTTGTTCTACATTAGCCTCATGATTAATCATTCTTATTCATTTCCATCTTCACAGGTTTTCATCAGACAGTGAGGCTGGTGGATGTCCTTCTCTCTCAGGCTAACAAAGGAGCTCCTCAAACACTTGAACCTCAGCGGCGCAGCAGTTTGAAAGCTTCCAGCAGACTAATGACTGTTTGAGGGGACGCGGACCCACCGTGGCCCATGCACTGTACCCGTTTCCCTCCCTGTCCTCCTTATCCCTCAAGCTGACGCAAAACCCCAGACACCTACCCCCCCTCCCCCATCCCCACTCCCACTCCCACCCCATCCCCAGCGACTCGCCTCCTCCTCCCATGCCGCCTGGCACTGAGACTGTGCACTACATCCACCTGCACAACTCCAGCCAGTCGGTGCTGGAGGCTCTGCGCACGCAGCGGCGGGAGGGCCTCTTCTGCGATGTGACCGTGCGGATACATGATTCTTCACTACGTGCCCACGCCTGTGTCCTGGCAGCTGGTAGCCCCTTCTTCCAGGACAAGCTGTTGCTGGGTCACTCTGAGATCTCCGTGCCACCGTTGGTCCCGGCTGAAACCGTAAAGCAGCTTGTTGATTTCATGTACAGCGGCTCTTTGGTTGTGTTGCAGTCTCAGGCCCTCTGCATTCTCACTGCTGCCAGCATCTTGCAGATCAAGACGGTCATCGACGAGTGCACCCAGATTATCTCTCAGAGGAAGGCTGCGGCGGGTGCGGCGGCTGCAGCTGCTGCAGCAGCGGCAGGAAGCGCGATGCTTGGTGGAGTTCTCCCTAAACAAGAGGAGCGCGGTGGTGGGAAAGGAGCAGAGAGAGGGAGTAGTGGAAGCTGTTCTGTTAGTGCCGCAGGTGGAGGATATGCAAACTTCTCTAACTTCATGGCTGAATGTGGGGCGAGCAACATGGGCGGGGGGATGGGGGGTGCGAGCGTCAGTGAGGGAGGCCCAGGCCCGATGGATCAGGCTAACACCGTGAGTCTGATGGAGCTGGGCAACATGGGTCCAGGATCCATGTGTGGAGGCGACGGACTGGGCCCTGGGGCCGGCACAATCCTCATGAAACAGAGCCCCAGCTGCACTCAGGATGTCAGATACAAGCTGCGAGACCTGTTGGCGCAGACGGCCAACGGAGCCAGCACTAGTAGCACAGGGAACCTCTCAGCGGGCTGCAGCTCCGGTGTGGGCAGCGTGGACAGCATCGGCAGGGACAGCCTCCGCGGCAACACGACCGACCTCTCTGATGACCTGGTGGGGATAGACCGCTACAGCGAGGAGGAGGACCTGGACGGGAGAGAGCGGGGAAGAGACGGGGACAGAGACAGGGGGGCGAGCCACAGCCGCAAGCAGAGGCAGCCGCTCAGACTCCAGGTAGAGGGATAAGGGGAAGGGTTGCCATGGTTACAGCTTTCAGGCATGCAGAGCTGCAACGGTTTTCTTTTCTTTCCTTTTCTGCTTTTCCCTCTTCTCGCACTGCATTGGCGTATATCGCTGAGATGTTTCTGCACTTTGCACAACTGAGGAGAAGCTCTCGTGTTAACTTCAGCAGTAACTGCCTTGTTGATGTTCTATGGACTTCTGCATGTTTACTGTAGGTCATTAAACTTACTAGTACCTGCCTGAAAGGTCACTGTGCTGACCATCTTCTGCTTTTTAGCTCCTGCCACTGTTGTAGACCTTATGCTGTATAAAAGACTGAATTGGACCTTTTTTCTCTGTAGGTGCTGGGAGGAGAAGGAGTGGTGGTGAAAGATGAGGGGGTTCAGGACCCAGATGGGACTGTCTATGCTTTGGAGGACGGTAGAAGAGGCGGAGAGCAGGATGGCTCCCAGGAATCTATGGCAGGCTTTGGACAGGTGGGTTTTACTCAGAGCTGCAGCTTTGGAGGCCAATGAAGAAGACCTACTGATAAAGACCAAGTTGGTCATATTTTAAATGTTATAAGAGATGTAATGCTAATTTTCACTGGACATTTAAATAATTTATCAGGCCTTACTTGCAGAAGGAAGATCCAGAGCATCTTACGGAATAAATATCTCCGTTGCAAATTGCTCAAGAGGGAAACTTAGAAAATGATGCTTGTATTTTAAATGTATTCTTAGCATTTCTGTCACAAATCTTGAAGTAAGAGGGAAGAAAATTGTGGAGCGGATTTCTGCCGCAGCCTGCTGTACCCTGCAGACTACACAAGAAACATCTGCCACAGAGTCAAAAGGATTCCGCTCTGCCTGTCAGTATTTTTTCTGAAAATTGTTGCAGAGAAAGTCAGTTTAGAAATGGATAAATCTGCTCTGTTGACAAGGCTAAGGGGTCTTGTTTTTCTTTAAGAGCAGCAGAGCATTTGATCACCAATTTGGCCAGCTCTACTCATAATAATAATAATAACATCTTCTGTTTTTAAGAAGATACTCTTCAGTTCACATGACATGTTGTCAAGCAAACTTGCATATCACAGTACTTTTGATAAACAATATCTTCTGTCTGTATACTAATTAACTTGTAACATAAAAATTAAAAGCGCTATAGCAGAATTTATCTTGAACCCCATTATGCATTTGTATGGAAATAGTTTAATTCTAAAGTTCATTTAGGCTTTTATACAGATGTTGTTTGGCTCTTGCTGTAATTGATCCCAGCCAGGTGAAAATTACATCTGTCCAATTTGACAATTTTTATGAAAAATATTTATTTTATATATTATAAATAATAATAATATTTATATATAAGACTTTACCTCTTCTTCTCTTCAAGCTGTCAGTCGGTCCCCCTGTAGAAGAATCAGTTAATCAGGTGTTAAATGTAACTCTACAATGTGCCAAACGAGGGCTTAAAGTATTCCAAGCAAGTTTCTACATGTGTTATGATAACATTCATTCAGCATACGTTATGTTAGCAGCAGTTAATATTAGCAAGGCTGAGGCTGTTGCGTATGAGGTAAAATAGCCTCCTGATAAGAAAAGTCAGAATTCTCAAAATGTTTATTACCAGTTCTTTATGCAATGGTCAGTAATCAGAAATCTATCCAGCTCATGTGTTACTACAGTGTGTAGATTGTAACATACAGAAACCATGAATTATAACAGTGGATAAAATGCATGATATCAGGGTGTTCACATGCATTGTTTTTTCAGGAATTCCAGCTGGTTGTTTTTATGTAAATTGTCATGTAAGCACTCCACAAAACGAGCAGTATTTAGATCCATTTCTCGATTTTCAGTGTTTCTCGCTGCGCTTGATAGCTAAGGCAGCCACATTAACAACACATGCCCTCTGCCTTAACTACTGTTGTACAGAAAGGAAACAAATTGATTAAAATCCTCTTGCGTCTCTGAGATCCTCATGTGTCCGTGATAGATACTGTTGGATGCTCCCGTCGGATAAGACCCCCAGAGTTCAGGCTGCATCGGGGCATCAGCTGGTGGTTGAGGGGTGGGGGCAACAATCAGAACTGCGTGGTCGATAAAGAAACAGCCTGCTGTAGTCTGTAGCTGCAAACTTACAGAAACAAACTACGTTACAGAGCGCTGTGTTGGATAACTGGATGTAACCCTCTAACAGACTTTGCTTTTGGTTTGGTAACAAAAACTGTTTTTGAAATGTTGCAGCTTTTCATATTCCAGTCAGTTGTACTTTTTAAAAGAACTTTCAAAATAAAGAGGCGGTTTTTTGTAACTGCTTGTATTGGCCTATTATTAGTATTAATTGTATTATAATAAATGTATTTATTTTGTGTACATGTTACTTGTTTTAATATACAGTGTATGATTAGTTGTTTTTTTGGTCTTTTATTCCTTATGAGGTTTTAAACCATACTACCCTTCGTTATATGTATGGTTTAAACTCCAGTATTACTCATCAGGTTTTCTGCCTAGCCATACATCCAAAAACAATTCGCCTCTGTTTTTACAGTACTGTAGATCGACTGGTCGGACCGCACTGTGCAGGATGATCTCATTTCAACTCATGTACTCTTGCATCTATAGGCAATATTGGGGTTGAGGGATAAAAATAGGTTATAAATGCCAGAGCTCGACTGAGGTGAGCTTTCTGAGGGCAATATAATTGACTTCTCTTATTGTGAATTTTTCAGCTAGAATCTAAATAGATAGATCTTCCCTATGTGGCTCTTCAAAAGGCACACAGTAGGGGTGTGAAGAGACACCACTATCTGTATCTGTTCAACCAAAGAATGATCTATATCTGTATTCGGATGTAAACCGGACTGGGCGTGGTGGGTTTTTTTGTTCAGTTTTCTTGCAACACTTATCTTTATTTGTAATTTGATTAAATCTTAATCAAATTACAAATGAACATCGGGTTTTCACATCATGTTAATTCTGGCAATGCAGTTGGGCCTTCAAAACATTAAAATGGATTTACTTTTGGCATATAACAAAAGAGATATATATATATATATATATATATAATATCACACTGCAGTTGAATCTGTTTCTATTTCTCTTTCTTTTAACTAAAGTTTTATGAGCTATCTGAACACTAAGTCAAAATACAATGAGACATATGATGGCTTTACTTTTTAAATGGGTGTAAATTGACTGAGATACAACATGTAACCATAGGCTGTATTTAACATGTATTATTGTTTACATTCTTTAGGTATAAGATAAGAACACCGCTGGTGTGCAGCCCACTGCCTGAGAAGAGCTTATGTATAACCTACCGTAATGTGGAGGACTAAATTAAATGATCTTTGACTTCGGCAATTTTAAAGACAGGATGTTAACACCTCCTGCTAAAAGGACACTTTCTTAGCTTCATTTTGATGTACGTTGTGGAGGCTTAACTGAAATGAAGCCACGGTCTCAGGGAATGAATCAAAAGGGAGGGGCAGAGGAATATGACTGGAGCTGCAGAGACTCAGGCGGCTCATGCTGCGTCAATGAAGCACGTAACATAAAACTTGACTTTTTTTAAAATTCCGGATTATAACGAGCATATTTTTTTAATATGAAAAATATCCACATCCATCTTATTGTCAGTGCCTTTCAACACTGGATTCTGGCTCATCTCTAGTACTCATGCCTCTGCTTAAAAAATAATTTACCTTTGTTTTTTTTCCCATTATTAACCAGTTCCTGTGCTGACAACTTAATGCTCCTCTGTGATTCTTTGCGTAAATGCTTTGATTGCTGTAAGTGCAATGCAGGAGTGAGTCTTTCTCATCCCTGCACTTTGGCAACAATAAAAGGCATTTTAAGGGATTAAAGACAGGTTTTAAATACTAGAGTCCAAAACACATCGGACTTTGGGAACCAATACCGATTATAGTAGTGAAATGATTCACGGATAACAAAAAATATAACTGATAACACCAATAGACCTTTTTACATTTATTGTTCATCAATGTAGACTAGATCTGACTACAAACAGTTATCAGGATGCAGTTCCATTAAGAGAGTTTTAGTTTCATACATAGACGAGAATTTCATTTAAACAAGGCGAAAGAACAAAGCATAAGATCCCAAACACAAGAGAACCCAAACAACATAATGACCTGACAGCAATGGAAGTCGTACAGTAAAACATTTTTAAAAAGTACAATTTATAAACCCAACAAATGATTCGAGACCAGGAGGACCGAAGATGTAAGACGACATAACCAACTGAAATAAATAGAAACATGAAAATGAAACAGCGGCAATAAAAAAATAGATGGAAGTAAAAGCAAAATATTTCAATAAAAACTTTATGAAAAGATTTTTTTTAAATATATAGATATGCAGAAAAACATGCCAGTGATAAAATACATGGATGCATTAAACCGAAGCCGTAAGAGCGATAAAGGAAGTCATAAGTAAAGATATGTTGGACATTGTGGAGCATTTATAAACTGGAATGTAAAAATCTTTTCTGTTTGGATTGTGAACTGATTTCATAAAAATGTATCACAATGTTAAGTTACTTAGTCAGCTTTTTTTTTTTTTTTACGTTGCACTTAGTCAAACAAAATGGGTAAACTGTCCCTAATGAACCAACTAAATGATAACCATTTCTAAATCAGCCCCAGCGTTGTTTTCTCATTACATCTTCTGTCAAAAAAGTATCCACACCCTTAAGATAAAAACATGCCTGTCAGCTGACAGATATAACTGTCAAGCCCGAGTAATGCAAATAATAAATGATGAGGTCTTTATATATGTAAACAAAAGAGGACTTGATTTTTTACACATGCACTTGTTTGTTGAGGTGAAGCTTGGAGACTTGCAGGCTCTACATGCATGGAGCTGGTAAGAGTCCTTCTCAAAGACAGCTCAGGAAGGTGTTATGCATAAGGAATGTCATTATAAGAGAACCTGTGACCTGAAAAAGAAGGTGCTTTATGAAAGAGGGTTTTATCTTTTTTTCAACCGTCCTTGAGCTGTAGCCAAATCATGAAACTATTAAAACTGGTGTCATTTTTTTGGTTTGGAGATGTGTGTGTTCGATCTTGAATAAAGTCCATATGTGATTGTGTGTCTTTCAGGACTTCTATGATGAGCAGGGGGTGTTTTCAGAGAGTTTCTGGCCCCAGAGTGAGCCTCCTCAGGCAATGGCTTTCAACCCCAGAGGAAGGGTCAACAAGCCTCTGACTCCACCTCCAACCACACAGTCCATCAACAACCAGGTCAGCGTGCTCACTGTCTTATACTATCCACTGTAATGATGTTAAATCTGTCCTGAATGTTCTTACAAACTTGGTATAGAGTTAAATGAAGGCAGAGTTACAATGGCAGATTGAGTTACAGTTGGAAAACGAACACACTTGACTTTAACACACATCTCAACTCTTTGTTCAGCCTGGATGCTGCTTGGCTTAACCCTCACTGCAGACTATTGTAAATAATTCATGCCTTTCCCCACACTAGATTATCCAAACACTAAATATTTTATTTTTTCTGTCTTTTTTTTGTGTGTGCATAAGCCAACATGGGCGTTAAAGAAGAAAATCCATGGGGAGCCAGTAGCATAGTGGTTGGTGTTCGCGCCCCATTTACGGAGGCTGTAATCCTCCGAATCGTTCCCCACTTCCCTCTTTCCTCTTTCTGACTCTGTCCACGGTCCTATCTCTACAATAAAGGCCCAAAAAGCCCAAAAATGGAGGAAATCTATGTCATGTGTAGTTATAGTCTATGTGCATGGAGATCACAGCAGTCGCATGCATACACTCTATGCATTGTGCAGCAGTCACAGTATGTAAACGTTACTCCCCCTCCCATTGGCTTGAGTTGAATTCTCCGGATAATATCCTGCTAACTTCACAAATTAGCTAACTTGGACTTGCTGTGGAAAAAATACGAGGAGTCTGGCAGAAGAAACTCTGTGTGAAGTCAGAGCTAGACATGTGGCTGTTTGCTTTCACACATACAGCTCCTTCTGCAAATATCAGGAGTTTCTCAGAAGCTTTCAGCCAGTTGTGAAAGTCCAATTATATATATAATATTCATGCTATCATTAGCCTGCTAACACGACAATGCAGCAACAAGCACAATTTTGTCCGCTGCGTGCACTTAGCACTTAGTGCTTAATTATGCTGCGTTCCAATTTGCTAACTCCTTCGAGCAAACGCGAGGGGAGAGGAGTTGGAGGTGTGTCGTTGTAGGAGAGCGAAGGATTCTAAATAGCGCTTGTTTAGGTTTCATGCTAGTGCTCAAGCGCGACATCTACTGGAACAAAAAGTCATGCATTCTTCCTTTAACAACAAAACCGGTCTTAAAAAAACTTATGTAAGCCAAATCAACTTATATTCAGAGGATTGAAATGTGTTAAGAGTAATAAACTACCAACAAAACATTTTTGAATTATAGGGCATTAACCTAACTATGGAAAAAAGGAACTTGTTGCAGATTGGAAAGTAAATTAAAACAAATAAAGGGAATGGTAAATTAGTGAAGTGTTCGATGTCACAAGAAGGATAATAATTTTGACTGGCCCACTGAGCTGGAAGGGAGTTTTTTAAAGTGAAATGAGCCATTCAATGGCGCTGCAAGGTCTTCCTTCACTGTGGTTACAGGGAGATGCTGCCATGTCTTACCCAAGGTGTCCCTAAAGGGACAAAGTAGCACGTGATTAATGTGATTTCAAGCCTTAATCGCATCATGATGAGTGTGATAACGCTGACAGCCCGAATTATATTATGTTATAAAAACATTGTACAGAATGCACATGCAGCAATGTCCACTCTTAGGGTCTCTTTGAATGCAAAATATAGATACAAATATAGATTGATTGATGTTAGCTGCTTGCTGCCAATGTGATTCCGCTTTCTTGGTTTTGCTGCGTCTTAGTACCAAGCCTCCCCACACGAAGGTCACCAGTTGTGTTGCACGAAGCCCCCAAAGGCTTAGTTAAGAGTTTGAAAGCTGTTTGCAAATCCATACCAACAGTTTATAAGACTGTGCACACGGATTGGCTTTGGAAATCAGTGCTTATCATTTACAAAACTGAGCGGTCTGTCCAGACCAAAGAAATCTGGATTATGTTAAAATTTACATATTGTTTGCTATTCTACCTGGTGCATACAAAAACAAAATACTGGGGATGGAGAGAGAACTCCCATGATTCCCCGCCAGCCTCAACGTCATCTTTTGTTATTGTTTTGATTGGGAATTTACATACTTGACATGCTTTAAACAGCCAATAGTCCCTAATTTACTTCTTAATAGCATTAAGTTAACCCTTTGAGTCACCATTTGTCCGGTTGGGGAGGTAAAAAAATGTTCCTCCTCCATGAGTAGGCATGACAGAAAACTTTTGAGGACTACTGTATTATATATGAATCTGTGCAGTCTCTCTGATTTTGAAGATTTGAAAAGAGAATAATGGAAAACTAAAGTTATGTCAATATAATTGAAATGAACAGGCTTATATAAGCAATGTTTGAAGATGGTGTATGAGAGAGTAAAAAATATCATAACAATGTAACTTTTTTTGTTTGTTTTTCCCAAAGAAACAGTGATATTAAAAAAAAGCAAACCATAAAATCAGAAAAAATCCCAACAATGATCAGCCCTCTACATATATAGAAAAAAATTTAATCAATGATGGGAAAAAGCTAAACACATTTTAATTTGATTTATATGAAGTAAATATAAATATATATGACCCCGTGCTAAAAGAGGATGTTGTTTTTCCCTCTTTAGCTTCTTTTCCAGTACCCAGTGAGCCAATCACAGCCCGCTCCCTACTATGTGGGCGGGCCCATGGGAGGGATTGACAGCATGGCAGCGACTGAGCCCAGTCAACAAGTTCCGCCACCGGCGTCCATGACCCCGGCTCCGCCTCCCTCCACCTCCTCCTGCTCTGCGGGCCCCTCCCCTTCTTCCCAGGGATCTGAGACCTCGTTCGACTGCACGCACTGTGGCAAATCTTTACGTTCCAGGAAGAACTACAGCAAGCACATGTTCATCCACTCGGGTAAGACACGCCAACTTCTCCTCAACCTTTTTATTTATTTGAGAGTTTATGGTTGTAATTATTTTTAGTCTTATGCCGCGGCTCAAAATCCTGTGAGATGGACTGACATAGAAACAGGAAACTTTGCACAATAACTTGAAACAAAACACGATTTTTGACAGGCCATGCCCCCCATAGCGTAAGTTGGATCGACTTGAAGTTTGAGCTCTAAAAACCATCAAAGTCCACCATGATGGATCTTCAGCCATTTTTAATTTTAGGAAAATAACATTTTCACATAGTTGGTACCATATTTTCTGTGGATGCTCATTGGACCAGGATTATTAAATAATTTACAACGGTTGTTGATAGCTTATTTAGTTTTCGTGATCAGTAATACAATTTGACGGCAGAGCTTTTCAGAGAAATGGCAAAATTCATTAACCACTCGTCCAATCATTGTACATTCTGGTACAGATTTTCAGATGCTTTGGTGGTGAGTATTGATCAAAATCTCAAGTGTTACACTGATTAATGAAAGTGGGCGTGGCCTATCACATATTTGCTCATATCTCAAGTTGCCTTTGATCAATCCTGATGAAACTGACTGGAGACTTATTTGGCTAAACAACATACACACTTTGACTGTCAATTCTAAGAAAAAACTAATTATTCTGGGGGAAAACTAACATTAAGGAGAAAGGAGAGGCTGGAACTTTGCAACCCCTACCCAGCAGGGGCAGCAGCGATTCAGAGGGCTGTGGTGCCACTGAAATTGACGAGCCACAGAGGAGCTCTCAGTGTAACAGCATCTAATTCGCAAACTCACACCCCCTGCTCAGACTCTCTGCATCTCAGCAAACACACAGACATAGAAGGAAGAAAACCTCAAAACTTCACTGAATAAATACTGGTATGAGAAGCACTTATTCATTTTGATTCAAGGTTAATGTTTGTGGTGGAATGCTGTTTATGTAGTTATGTATTCATGCAAACCAGTATTGTTCAATTTATTCGATTTATTTGAGGATGAGATTTGATTTACCTTGTTTAGAAATAATAAGGTTTGTGTTGGGTTTAATGCTACTGACAGAACGTTTAATTTTGGCTGTCAATAATTAAAAAAAAATGTATATATTAGACGTGGGCAGGAGTTAAAGTCTTTATATGCGATTTCTTGATCCAGCAGATGTCGCCCTTGAGCACCAGTATGAAACCAAAACAACTTGCGGTGCATTGCTGTGTTAGCATGCTAATGCTAGCGATCTTTATTATGCTCGTATCTTCACACTGCATGTAAATTTACCTGAAATGAGCGTGATCTAGAAACACAGTTAAGCAGTGAGTACAGTATGTTATTCTTCTTTTCTCTAGTCCCTCAATTAAACAACTTTTATACACGAGGGGAGGAGTCAGCCGCTGTCCAGGCGACGTAAACAAACTGAAGATAGGACTCTGAAAACTCTGAAAACATCACAGACAGTGGGACTCGGGTGTTACACCCATTGTAGACAGTCATGACTCAGAGTTATTTTCAGAGGATATACTTGATTTCTATTACATTTAAGTGTGAAAAATCATATAAAGCCTTTAAAGTAAGAATCCTCACATAACTTTACACACACTACGACAAATGGTGAATAAGTGAGTGAGGAAATATTAGTGTGTGCTTGATCTTCCTCTGTTTACATATTAAACCAGCTGAAATCGACATTTTTTCAACTTGTTGAGGCTTGAAACTAGCTTGTTGCTGTTTGGGGCATAAACTTTCTGATAATATTTGTAATGAATCAACCTGAAACTCTACCCTTCAAAGGTTCATCACAGACTTAGTGGCTTTGTCTCTTTAATGTCAAAGTTTAGGTTTTAATGCATAAAACTTGATGATTTGCATCCAAGTCTTTCTTATGAAACCTTGTTTCTTTTGTTTTGTTTTCCTCTAAGAAAATCTCACAAACCACAGCAAAATTCCTGTGCAGCACAAAAAAGAAGACAGACAAAATTGGAGTCAAGTTGTTGACAAAAGTGAAGCACCTGGAAAAAAGTTACATAAACTAATGCTGTAATCGAAAGTTTTGTTCAAGTTTTCCATTCAGGAATGTTTTGGATCCATATATTTTCTGTACAAATGTGGACTGTTGCATGACCAAACCTTTAATCTTTGGTTTTAGAGACTCTTGCAAAGTTGAACCATTTGTAAACACTCGAAGAAATGATGTCACAGTTTTCATGAGTTTAAAAGGTTCAATATGTTTTTAAGGGGGGTGTTCACACATCCAACCATCTCATGAAGTAGGTGCGTAGGACAACAAACTGTCACTTTTCTACATGAACATGTTTGTACTTGTTGTTTCACCAGGTCAAAAACCTCATCAGTGCTCCATCTGCTGGCGCTCCTTCTCCCTGCGCGACTACCTCCTCAAACACATGGTGGTGCACACTGGAGTCAGGGCCTTCCAGTGCTCCATGTGCGGCAAGCGCTTCACCCAGAAGAGCTCGCTCAACGTGCACATGCGCACCCACCGTGCCGAGCGCACCTTCCAGTGCAACGTGTGCCACAGGGCCTTTACCCACCGCACCTTGCTGGAGCGCCACGCCCTGCAGCACGCCCACCATGTCCCCCAGGCTCAGGCCCAGGGGCGTGGGCCCGACATGACCTCACCTACCAAGCACAGTCCTCCGGCTCTTGGAGGACCCTCAGGTATGGCTGGCGCGGCTGGCATGGTCGGCAGCATGGCCAACATGCCCAACCACGGAGCTTCCTCCACCTAGCCAGAGAAAGAAAAGGGGAGATATGGGGGAGACAGGGGGATGTTAGTAAGCCCATTCCTTGAACCAACACTTATTTGGTCCTAACGGCCTTGTTGATCTTTTGTTCTGCTTGGAACAACATTTATGGGTTTCCCTTCTTTTTAGCTTAACGTCACCTTCAATCAGGGTTCCTACACAGGTCTGCAAAGGCTTTTGAGTATAAAAATGTCAAATTGAATCATGTTTCTAATTGCACAAAGAACTGGACATTTTTTTTAATTCTATTTCCACCTTTCAGAAAAAAAAGCCATGTTAAGTTGTAGTCCTACTGTCACTTCCTGTGTTGTTTTTTGGACAACAAATCTTAAGCTACAGAGTAGGGCTGCAAAATGAATGAAATTTCAATCATGATCACAATTTTGGCCGTTAATTATGACGTTAAAATGCATGCTTCGCCCATAGAAACTATGATAATTATTATCATAATAATTACCCTTTTTAAAGGCACGCGCACACACTTAGCCTGTGCCCCACACAGTGGCTTCTCCTGCCCCACCTCCTTTTTTGTCTTAACTTGTTTGTGTCTGCACTGTTGATCAGATGTACATTTTATCAAGTCATCCAAATAATACATTTTGTGTTTCATTTACGATTCCATTTTGATTCCATTGACAACAGCGGATCAGTGTGACATCAATCCTTGCACTTATCTTGCACTTTGCTTCTTTTGAGGTAGTTAAATTACTCTCATATTTTTTGATCAACCGGAAGTTCATTCTTTCTTTTTTTTCCAAAATAAAATAATTGTTATTCCAAATAGGGAATAAAATACACTAAGCATAAAACAGAACACAAGACGAAAAAAAGCACAGCAAAGAACAGTTCACTGTTAAAATCTCTTAAATGCCCACCTTACTTACAAAAGCTTTCATATTAAACTAAAATATTTAGTTCAATTAAATGAGGAGGATTTACACTGAACGCCACTGCTGGGTCATGTTTGACCTATTGTAAGTTGTCAGCGTGGGCCAAAAATTCCATAATATAGTTTTTACCTCACTTCAGCCCTGGCAATAGGTGAGTAGCAGGATATGTTTTTAAAATAAAAAAGGAGGAAAATAAATAAATAATCTTGATCTCATTATTTATCCAAATAATCATCTCAGATCATTTTGGCCAAAATCATGCAGCCCTACTACAGAGCAACATCATTGACAAGCCTTTAAATAGCCAGACATTTTTTAGGGGGGTGGGTACTTTATTTGAAATCACAATGTGTAGGAACCCTGTTTTTAAGACACCAGGGAGTCACCAAAGAGGTTAGGACATCTTAAAAGGTTTGGGAGTGGGAGTGGGAGTGGGAGAGGGGGAGGGGGAGTCATAGAGTATCAAGGTGGAGGTAAGGGTGGGATTGGGTGGGGAGGGGTGGGGTGTGGATTGAATCAATGAGGAGATTCAAGTTGGAAAATGGGCAATGAAGGGTTTTGGGGGTTGCAGGGTTTCATTCACCCTCGATTCATTTAATTCAAATAAAAAAATGTAAGATTCCTACCTGCTATCTTTAGCATCAGGTGTAACATAAGGCAAACGGAAACATGTTTTGTTTACAACCTAATCACCTATTGTTTGCGCTCTGTTGGAGGAATGTGTTTATCCTTAAACCTCAGCTTTCTAAAATCATGTCAAATCCAAATGATTTCTCTATGAAAATTAACTATGAAAATAAGAGACAGGTTGTGCCAAGAAAACAATAACTCTGCAACAGAGGAGGCTGGTATACATTACGAGCTGCTAAGCACACTTATTTCCATTCCAAAATTCACGCCATCATGATGTGTCATGTTGCAGAAGATGCAAAAATTCAGCAGGAAACCTGGTTAGTGTCAAGCCTGTAAAGAGGCGATGGAATTGTATTTTGTGCAGCAAATACAATGCAAGTGAGTGAAAACTCCCCAAAATAGTGCCAGCCTGAGCAGTTTGTAAAATCGAGACTTGTCAATAAGCAAGTGTACTGAGTTGTAAGGTGCCTTCATTGAGAAAATACTAAACTATCTGACATTTGCAATACTGCTGAGATGGATGACAAATCTCACGGTGTAGACCAGATCACAGATTATTTTCACAGAACACAGTAATGCAATAAACGATCTACTGATGGTTCTCGCTTACAACCACCTGCGGATATCTGCATGATAATAACAGACGTGGTAAGAGTGAGAGGAGAAAAGACACAGTTTTCATACATAGGGTTATATCAACGCATTACTACCAGATGCTGTGTGAAAGTCTACGAATGACTTTCATAAAAAAGTCAGATGTCTGTGTAGGCTCTCAGTCATCAAGACCATAATCCAATTCCAGTTGCTTTTTGGATCAAGCTTTGAGTTACCAGCACCGTGAAGACTTTTCCCCTGACGGCTTCTTCAGTGCTATACTGACTGGTGGATGAGTAGAAATGATGTTGATAGATCTGCTCTGTCCACCAGTCAGTTTAAAACTGAACTAGTGTGTACACTCGGCCCTAAATTAGTTCAATTCAAAAATGAAAATATTTACTCTCTGCATGGAAGTCTGGCTATTTTACCCAGAGACATCTTGTTGTGTTGGCAAATTGTTTTAATCATATTCCATCTGGTACTCTATAACCATCTTAACAAACTACAAATGGCATCTAGTCAACTTCCCTGCTAGCAAGCTAAGTTAGCTAGCTAGAACTTGACTTGGATTAACACCTGAATAAAATCCTTTTGGTCTCATCATGTAGCAAGTTAAATTCTCAGTGTTTAAGGGTAGGGTTGTCGTCAACTGGCTGAAGATAATAACTTTCCTGTGTCATTTATTGACTTTTTGTGGCTAAAAATACAAACCAAATGCTTTACCATTAAATTCACTGAGGTGAATCAAAATACTTATTTTCCCCCAGTCCCTTTTAATGAACCTGAAAAGCCCTTTTTGTAAAACCTTTTACCACTTTTTAATGTCAAAGAAAATAATGCACTTCCTGAATGAACTGAATTGAATGTGAATGAAGCCCTGCGTTATTCAGGAGAAAATCAGGGGTATAAAGAGGGTAGTTGATGAATGAGTCTATGACGAAGGAAAGTAGTCCGGTCAAAATGAGACTACAGCAGGGATGGAAGGAAAGAGGGGAGGGGGGCTGGGGGTGGAGGAAGAGGAGGCGTGATGCACAGCAGTGTGAATGAAATTCACCATCATCCATCAGACAGCTTTGAAACATTTTCCACAGGCGCCACTGGTCGGCCCCAGGATCATATACCTCGAACCAGGACGAGCCTCTGACAGCTCGGAGGAACACTATTTTTCTCATTTGAAATGTTTGGGAAACATTTCAGCATGTTTTACACACCCACACACCTACAATTACCTCGGTGGTCCAAAGACAGGCATTATGCTTCATCTTTTAAGCTACATTAATGGAAGAAACAGTGAAAACTCAAGCTACAATAGATCTGTTTACTTTTTTGAAAGCTTACTAAAGTATATCTTTGAAAAATTCCTGTACATCGCTATAACGCTCAGTTCATTTGTTGCTCATGTGATTCTTGGATGCAGAAATAAGGCAGACATAAAAAAAAAAAGAAACTTTTAAAGTGAAGAGAGCCATTCGGAGGAAGTTAAACTTGGTTGAATAACTACGACAAATCAATGATTTTTATTGGGATTTTTATTGAGTGTTTGGTTGTGTTTGTCTTTTGGGGCTCTGCTTAATAATACATGGGAAGTGTTTGTTGCTTAAAAAAAAAAGTAAAAGCTTTTCTCTCAGCACTATTAAAAAAAAACAACTTTTTAACGTTTTAGTAAAAATAAATTAATCATGAAAATGTACAATCACCCCCTCAAGTTTTGACAAAGTCAAACTCGTGATAATGTTAATTATCACAATAATATTTATTACAATTTGATCTCTATGCACAGTTAAGTTTGCACATCTGTATACTTAGACCTAGATGTTGTGGTCCCCTAAAGTATTTGGCCTAAGATTGTTTTTTTGTTTGTTTTTTTAACACCTAAAAGGTGATCTGAAAAAGACCTTATGTGTCCCTGCTTTTTGCTCCTTTTCCTTAATGTGTGTCAGTTCAAGCATAATATGATACTCAGTAGATTACTTAAGCTTTATTATTAGAGCCTTCTTATTGACATGATTTCATAAGATGACCTCCCTAACAAGTGAAAAAACAATTCAGCTTGACAGCTTTTCAAATCTTGAGATAATTTGATGAAAGGAAATCAAGAATTATTTCCGTTTTTAGAAGAGTGAATTCAGCACACATCCAAATCCTTTGTGTCTGGATGTCACTATAAACTAAATATTGACATTAAATGTCCCGTTTTAAATGTGGAAAACTGCTTATTTACAGGGAGCAGGCTTGGCATCGTGCGTTCATTGGCCTATGAACAGTGCAAAAATAATTTGCAGACTCAGTAAGTTTGTTTCAGCCAGCGTTGTGGATTTAACAAAAAAAAGATTGAAAAAGAGTTTACGGGAAGCTGGACTGAAACTCCTCTAACTCACTGTTGCATATAAGCTAAATATAACTTTTAACGCCAAACTGTTGGTGCTTCTTTGGAAATACTTACCTCATTTGCCAGTTGCCAACACCATGCTGCGGTCTGGGTTTGGTAAATAAGCAGTGTTGAGCTGTTTCGGAGGTTTGTTCTATCCTCAGCAGTAGAAGTGATTTTGGTGCATCTTGTCTGAGGCGGACCCTTGTACAGTACTGTAATATGTGTGCTTTGAAGCCATGTCAGCGCATTGTATCGTACTGTGTTATGCCTTTTCTTGTCTTCTGTTTCTTTGTTTTATTGGGAGGGAAGTTGATAATTGTTTTTCTACATTAATATTTCTTTAACAGACGTTAAAATATGTCAGAAGAAGAAACAGTCATTTTATAAAATAAAAAAAAACCACGTCATCGTAAAACCACATCTTTTATGTATTAAAAAAAAAGAGACTAAAGGCATGATTTAAACTTTTTTCTGAGAACTTAGATGTTGTACTCAATGAATTAATTGAATTTTAAAATTGAGTGATTTTAAAGATTTCTTTCTCCAAATAAAGTCTTCTATGGCTCTCAGGCCAGCTGCTCGTCACCGATTTCCATTCTTTCCAGCTTTGTGCTGTGTGTGTGTGTGTGTGCACATAAACTCACCTGGTAAAGCTTGATTTCATTCATTGTCTTGAAAACTGTTGAAGGCCAAGTCCACCATTCCCAAGTAAGTGTTCTGATGTTTGAACTCCACAGCCAAACACGATACATCACAAACCACACCAGTGTTATGAAATGTTATACACTTTCTTCTATGTGGGCGTTGACAAGTTTCTTGCATGTCAAGTAGTCTTAAGGCTTTTCCATTCTTGGAGATCCCTCCATCATTAGGAAGCTTTGCGGATGTTTACATGCTCTTCACTCAGTCTGATGATTCATATATTTCTTCTGTCGTTTTTTTTAGAAATAACTTCTTCAGATAGCAAAGACGCTTGCCAGATGCTGTATAATGTCTCGGCTTACTCTGCCCCCCTTCATCCCATCGAAACCTAAAAGCTAACTGTTGTTGGTTACCAGGAATAGTGCTGTGTGACTGTGTGTGAAGCAGCGTTCTATGTTGCATATTTGTGTTGCATACTTTTTCTATACACACATCAAACTGTTAGCTGTGAGGACAGATGCACTGATTTTGACAAAAAGTGAGTAGTATTAGACGCACTGCTCCTTCAGTCAGAAGTTTAAAACAGTATTTTTGTGGTTCATGTTTAGGATCAATCTGAGAATGATTCAGTTCTTAATTCAACTTAGTTTAAAGCTTACCTGATAGTTTTTTCATAAAATGTAAAGTTAACATAGTATAACTTTTATTTTCACAGAAAGCTACTTCACTGTCTTTTTTTTCCTTTTAAATGTTTTAAAAAAAAAATCACTTTCCTCTTCTACTGAAAAAGTTGGTTGAATGTTCTTAGTGTCCCTGCGGACATACAGTAGTTCCTTTGTTTGAATTCATCCCCAACACACGAGTCCTCTAAAGTTGTCTTATCTCTTCCTTTTCTAAAAAATCCTAACAAACTTCACAGTAAAGACAATGTAAAATCTGTCTTTTCTTTTCTTCTCTTGAAGACCCGTAGATATTCTTTTGTTTCGTTTTGTTTCTTCCACCGGGCCCTTTGAAGGTCTGGCTGGTCGCGGCTGAACTCTGGCCAGAAGGCATCTGTTACTCAACAACATCTGTTCCTGTTACTCTCTTTCTCCCAGCATGCCGAGGGACACGCAGCCTCTCCCAAGGGTGGCCTTTTGTGTGCCCCATTGTCAATTCCATCATTGTGTGCTGAAGTCTGTTCCCATAATGCCACGGGGTGATAAACCCCTCCGGAGGCCACCTCTACCGGGCTAATGATTTACAGTTATTTGTGTCTAAATACAATCAGCGTCTTTGTGGGGCAATAATGACAGAAAGCTGAGTGAAATTTAAAGAGGCGGAAAAACAAATCTAAATGTAGACTTGCATATCCTTTTTTTGTTTCTTGCATGTTTACCAAAAAACTCTACAGGAGAAGCTGAGAAATAAAGCCCCAGGGTTATTTTTTGATGGATACAGGAAGAGTAGAAAACCAAAAAGTGTTGGGCGTCCAGGAGGGGTTCTCTTCATTGATCTGAGTTTAAGAGCCATGAATTACCTGACATGCTCTTTTAGGAGGAGAAATAGGAGTGGTAAATCTAGCGTAGGGACATTGTTATTTATGAATAGGCCCCCTCTCCAGTCTCCAGGGAGACACTTTCAACTTCTGGCAGTAGCCAACAGTGTGGGCATAGAAAAAGCCCACTATGGAGTCGCCAGGAGAAGACAACAGATGTTACTGATTAACTTTGCTCACAGACCCCTGATGAAGAGTCTTTCACAGTGCTCGCAGATGGAAATAAAAAGAAAAGTTGAACACAAACAAAATGTCATGTTTAGCAATATTTATTTGGAAAAATAGTCTTGGCTAATTCCTTCATTCAAAAACGGTAAAGGAGACGGTAACATAACAATTTGTACAGTACAATCCCTCTTAAATAACATTTTCTTAAAAAAAGTCCCATTGACCTGAAGTGCCTTTGCAAATATCATCATTAAAAAAAGCAACTTAAATAATCATAACACAAACATCACAAATATATAATACAAAATAAAAATAACACAAAATCCTTAAATTAACTTAAATTAAATCATAATTTTAAAACATTTTCTTGATTTTTTTCTTTTATTTTACAAAAGGACAATCTGTATCAAAAAGCAACATTTTTTATTTTAATTAAGACAAAAGTTTTCATATCCCGAAAAAGAAATGAAAAAAAATGAACAATACTATGTCATAAATGGTTTGGAGGGCTTAGGGAAGAAAACGCACTTCAGTTAACACAGTGATCAAGTATACATACAGTCTTCACAGGTGATGGGTGCACAGCCCATGTGAACAGCCTCATGAAGAACAGGCCAGTATGGCCAAACATCCACCGTTTGATGCAGTTCCTGCGCTCAGCAACGGCGTGTGGGTTAGAGAAAAGGCCTGGGTGCAAATGTTGCAAAAAAACAAAAAAATCGTGGCATCGCACGCTTTCACCACGAAACAATGTCCATTTTATATTTAATTTTTTTGTACCCCCACTCCCCGATAAAAGGCAGAACAGAAAGCTAAGTGGCAGTTTACTTTCAACCGTAAACTTTTTATTTATTTTATACCCCGCCAGTTCTTATCCCACAGGCCGCCGCTGCCTGCGCTTAGTTTCCAGTAGAGAACCAGCTCACTCTGAATATCAGTTAAACGTCTCAGTATCAGCAGCAGTCTCAAGGCGGGACACCTCCCCCTAGGGTTTAGAGCAGCATCTGAAGGAGTATAAAAACTCTCCCATAGAGCAAAAGAGCAACGGGCAGCCCACTGGTGGCTCGTTACACCTACAGAGAAAGAGAAGACAAAAAACATTACTTTGTTTGCCAAATAACCACAGACAGAAGTCTACCTTAACAACAAGGTTTAAAACTCACCTCAGTTGCAATTATACATTCGTCTTTTTCCTCTGACATCACAAACACAGATTTGTACTTGGTGTCCGCACATGCAGACATTTCTGGGGCTTTCTTTTCTGATGCATCACTTCAGGAGAGAAGAAGAACCTTGTTAGTTTCATCATTTTGACATTACTATTGTTTACACTTTTCAGATTTTTTTTTCAATGGTCTATTGTAAGTGTGTACCTTTTTAAACGTTTGCTGCGTTTCTCCTCAAACTCAAACGAGTCCAGGGATTGGGATTGGCACTTGTCCTCGCATGCCGCCTCCAGCATGGCCTCTTTAGCCGCCTGCTCATAGTTGACCTCTTGTACGAGGTTATAGTCTGCAGGTTGATGCCGGCTCTTGTAGCTGCTTCTCCCTGGTGAAGACCCTTCATCGGGGTCAGCGCTGCAGAAGTCCATCTTCTTGTTGATATTTTTGACACCTGGTGTCGGCAACATGCTGACCGCCAGGTCCCTGTCACTGCGGTGACAATTGTTTGTTAGGTTATTTATTGTCTCTACCTCGCCGACTGTTTCTACTGGACCTCCACGCTGGGCTTTCGATCTGAAAAATCCTACAAGTACTGCGCAGCCTGCCAGCAGCAGTAGCACCAGGGCCACACCGGACCCCACGGCCATCCAGGGCACCTCGGTCCCACGGATGGCAGCATGCTCCGGGAGCAAGAATTGACAGTTTCTGCCGCCGTAACCGGGAACACAGGCACAGACGTAACGGTTGTTTCGTTCATGGCAGGTGGCACCGTTGTGGCATGGATTGTGTTCACAGCGGCTGATGGGTGAGCTGCAGTTGCGGCCCGTGTATCCTGGTGGGCAGGTACAGGTGTAGCCGTTGGGACCTTCCTGGCATGTTCCACCGTTTTGGCAAGGGTATAATGAACACTCTTCCCCAGTCAGGTCGCAGTTCATGCCAGTGAAACCATCAGGACACTGACACAGGTACGAGTTGACGAGATCAACACAACGTGCACCTGAGAAAAGAGATAAGAAGGGATATTATTATTAATTGTCCCGGATTATTTAAAGAAATCTCAATGAGTAAAGATATGGTTTAGGATCACACCACCCATTCAGCCGGTCACTCTTACCGTTGGAGCATGGAGCCGAGGTGCAGTGGTCAATCTTCTTTTCGCAGTTGAACCCTGCGTACCCCGTGGAGCACTGGCAGAAGTATCCTCCGTCTGGGTTGTCAGCACAGCGGCCACCGTTGGAGCAGGGCCCATCAGCACACGTCATGGCACTCAGCTCGCAGTTGTTGCCATAGAAACCGTGGGGGCAAGTGCAGGTATATGTGTTTTCCAAATCCTGTCAGAGGAATAAATAGAACAGACTGAGCATCAAGATCTGTCTTGCAAACCGCAGCTGCTACCATCTCTTGCCAGTTAAATCCGAGTACAGCAAAAGAAAAAAAAGAACTTACAGTGCAGCTTCCTCCGTTGCGACACGGGTTTCCAGCACATTCATTGACCTGGATCTCACAGCTGGACCCTGTGAAGCCGGGCTTGCAAGAACAGGTGTAGCTGCCCTGGCCAGTGTTGCTACAAGTGGCTCCATTCATGCAGGGCTTGTGGTGAGTGCAGTAGTTGAGATCTGGAGAGACACAGCAGCACATGTGGATTAGCCACAGCACAACACATGTTGGAACAACAGCAGCAGTGACAGAACATCTTTTTTGTCCTCAGGCACACTTGACTCTCTCTGTTTCCAGGTTTTGTTTGCTTCCTGAAACCCGGCACAGCCTCCTGCCATAACTGTTCATCGTCTGACAACTGCTGCTATGTCGTCGCCTCTTAGACAGCCTTAATATTTTTTTATGTTGGTGTTTTGTTAAGTAGTTCTGTCATCTTTGTCTGTTTTCAAACTTTTAAACTTTACTGCACCATTTTTTTATTATTATGATGGACAAGAGAGGTAAAAGTTCCTTCTCCAAACTTTGCAAAACTTGGCCTCAAAAACACATTAGACTTCCAAAAAAATGAAAGTCCCGAACACAGAAAGAGATTCTGTGCCAAACTTTCAAAAAGCACCACATCAAGTACTCTTTTTCTACCCCCCTTTTTTAGTCTTGCCAGTTAGCATTGTTTGTGCACTTTGAATTCTAGATAACCCAGAAGCACAGATTTTGTATCTTTGCAGCCAAAGGAAGTTAAGGTGAAAATGATGCTAAATTACCTGAAAAGGTTTGTTTTATGTCTCTATATATTTTTTTTTATATTCTTGTTAGAAATACACTTCAGCTATTCTCCTGAGTTAAAACTGGATTTCTGTCGATACATTGATCAAAAATCTTTTTGTTCCAGAGTTTTATATCACCAAAACTTTCATGGACTTTCACTTTTTAGCTTGACATATGTTTTAACCTTAACACCTAGACAGCTTTCAAACCAAATGTATTAACCCATCAGTGCTTTCTGGATTTCTTTCCATTCCGTCACTCATCATCACACACTATATGCCGACTCTCACCAAACTCTCTCCTCACCTTGGTTGCAGAAGAGTCCCCCCCAGCCCTCCTGACAGTTGCACTGCCAGGGCTGCTGGCAGGTCCCGTGCAGGCATCCCGGGTAGCGAATGCACTCGTCGCAGTAGCGGCCCTTGAAACCCACTCTGCACCTGTTGTTGTCCAATTGGGAGGGAAACACCGGTCAGTCCACTCACATTACTTCATGAGTTCCACTAATTAATTGATGCCACAGAATATGCTGTTGGAAAACTTACTTGCACTCTCCAGGTTTCTCACAGAAGCCGTGTTCCTCGTCACAGCCTGGTAGGCAAATAGCTGTAGAGGGAAAAGAAAAACACTTTTTATTGACTTTAAACTACAAAAAAAGACTCAAATACAGCTTCATGTTGTGTTTTTCTCCTTCAGGTAAAACTTGTCACCTAAATCCCAATGAAGTCATTAAAATAAGAGCAAGGAGGGGCTCCTAAACCCATTAGCTGTTACCTTAAACTCAATCTCCTTATCACCATGGAAGAATTTTCTGCTTAACATAGTCCTGAGACAAAGGAGGGAGTGTGTGAATGTGAGGGTACACACACACTCACACACATAGGCCCCCTCAATCCGCCCCACCACCCTCTTTTTTTTTTTTTTCTTCTTCGCTGCGGGTCAAAACTCTTTTATTCATTCCGTGCGCACACACACTCACACACTCCCCTTAATGTCTCGGATTGGGGCAGATAAGAGTGGACAGCTGGCGAGTGTGTTGCCAGTGCGCGACAGCTGCTCCATTGTCTCCTCTCTGCCGGCAGCTGCCCACTTCAAACAATACCTCCCCCGCCTCGGCCAATCAGCGCCCGGCCCACTCCGAGAGTAACGAATCGGAAGGTAGCATGTAAATTTATGGCACGCGTGAGATTATTCCCAAAAACTTTCCTTAGAATAAATCAAGTGGTCGTGTGTGTGTGTGCGTGTGAGGGGAGAAGGAGGGGTCGGCGAGTGGTGTTTACGCACAAGTTGCCTTCTAACGGCACTCAGGGGATCTGATTACAGGCCCTGCACAGAAATTAACTTTATATACTTTCAGTTACTTTAATAGTTCTGAATGATCTGTTTATGACAAGTTTAAGAATCACAGTCTCTATATCATATGTGAAAGTTTTGGAGTGTCCTAAAACATATTTCAAGATAAGTTCTTCCTTAAGTGTCCAGAGAGTCACACACACTTTTCAAACACTTTAAGCGTGATATCTTAAGTTTAGTCACTTACGTTCAGTACAGTACTGTCCCTTCCACCCGGCGTCGCACACAATCTCTCCGCGCTCTCCGCAGGTGAAGTGTCCAAACGCGTCGTCTCTGGGCCGGCAGAACACCGAGCAGCCGTCCCCGTAGTAATGCTCATCGCACACGAACCGGTATGAGTACTTGAGCTCCGTCTTTCCGCCGGTGTGAAGGTCCTGGGACCAGACGTCTCCCACAGTCAGATGCCTCTGTGTGATCATGGTGCTGATGACGCGGTCTGGGTTCTCTAAAAGTGCACATGTGGAGAGAGGAAAGACGGGTTAAAGAATGGGAACGTGTGAGACAAAGTGTGAAATATTAAAAAGTGAAGGGTGTTTATCTCCTACCTGTGGAGAGGTCGTCTTTGGAGTCGGTGTGTAACGCCTCAATGATCAGCGAGAAGGTCCCCTGGGAACACAAATGGCTTCGTGAGACAGGTGGCTAGCGGAGTGTGTGTGACGATAACATCAAGCAGAGGCCAGAGGCGATTGTGCCATACAGCCGCTGTTCTGAGAGCAAACTGCCTACAACCTGATCCGGTGAAACTAAACTCCTGGAAAACTTTGTGCGTCCCCAGTTTAAAAAAGAAAATGTGGTCAGAAATCGTGCCATCAGCGCGTTTTACGCACGGATTTCCCCCCCCAAAAGGCGCGATACTGATTCATTCAACCCCTACACTGTAGTGAAACATGCATGAATGGCTGTACTTACTGGCCACGTGAAGCCGAAGTTAATCCTGATGGGGTTTGCGAATGAGTTCTCCGGGATGACATCAGGGACCTGAAACGAGTTGGAGCCGAGTACGGGCGTCACAGCTCCGCCGTATGTGCAGGGTGGCTCCGGGGAGGCGTTGGGCTGGTAGTGCTTTAGACAGATCCTGAAGAAGGTTTGACACTCGCACTGCTGCTGAAAAGACGAAGTTAGGCGGCCTCCCTTACAGCAGTTTTTATTTCCTTGTACTCCCTTCTTGTTTAGGAACTCCTGCAGCTTCAGCTCAAACACTCCCGAACAAAACCCCTGCGGAAGAAAAAGCAACTTATCATGAACTAGTGCTGCTTGTGTATGAATGAGGAGATGGCGAGGGGGGGTGGGGGGGGTGATGGTTCATTGTTTGGAAGAAATAGAGGTTCAGTGTCTTACCTGGCACAGCAGCATGGACATGACGGTGAGAGTCAGCAGGATTGGGCGCCCCATATTTAATAAATACATAATAAATAATAAATAAATAGAAATAAAAGTCTCGGGGCTCGGCGTGTCCTCAGGGTGCCTCCTCCTGTTCAATTCCTCTGATGGAGATGCATTGAGCACGTTTCTGTCCGCTCACGAGCTTTTCTCATCAACTGCAACCGCTGTCAGCCACGCTGCTCTCATTCATGTCCCGTGGAGCAAAAAGGATAAATCCCAGACCTTAAAAAAAAAAAAAAAATTGAAACACAAGATGTGTGAACTTGTGCGAGATCGTGTTGTTGGATTAGAAAAGCAGAGAAGTCCTCCAGTTCCGGTATAATCCAATGCGTAAAGTGAAAAAGGTGGTTCCTTGTTTCTGTTTTGTTTTTGTGGATAAAAGTGACAAATGTAAGGAAGTTGTTTTTGTTTGAAGGTCTTGGTCTAACCCAAGGACGGATTTGTCACTGATCCAACATGCTTCCTTCTTCCTCCCTATGTCTTTTCTCACTGTGAACTGTGCGTCTGTCTCAAGCCAAGGCCGCCTGCAGTCTGTTATATACGGCCTGACACATGCTATGGTAATAATATGCAAATGACCCCCTCCTCCTCCTCCTCACCGACTTCACCTCCCAATCTGGCCCGGCTCTCCACAATGGGATCTCATGCAAGGACCCCAACAGCCTCCCTTTTTTTTTTTTTTTTTTTTTACCCCTGCAACAGTGCAGCACATACAGCGTTAATATCTGAGGCCAAAATGGAGACATGTGAAAGTATTTCGACCGAAGAAGTGGAAAAAGAAACCGTGTGGCTGCTAAAGGAGGAGGTTGAGACTAACTGATAACCTGTTGAGGAAAAGAGAGATTCTTAAGGTTTTAAGATGTTTTTGAGGTTTTTTTTTTAAGTAGAATCTTTCAGAAATGGCGTTTTAATTCTGAGCTTCTCCAAATGAAAAAAAACATTTTAGTGTTTTAATTGACTTTTCTTGCTATTTTTAACAATTCCAGTAGTTTCCTGAAAAAGTTTAGTTTCAGACATATTAGGAAAGTCTAATCCCAACACATTGCAACACGATGTGCTGGTATTGAAAAACCTACCAATACCAGATTTCCTTCTGACAGGATGTAAATGACATGTGGTTCAATTGATCCCTCCAGCTGTTGCCTCAGTGGACAAACCTCTTTGTCTTTACTGTGTCTTTGGGTTTAATACCCCCCCCCCCCCCCCCCCCCAGAAAAAAACATCTAAAAAGACAGAAAAAAAACCATCAAAATCAAAGTAAAGTTGATGCAAAAGTTCTCAAAAAATGGAAAAAAAAGAGTGAGAAAATGTTTGGGTTTCAAAGTCTGAATCAGTTGGTTGTTTACACCCCTCCTTCTCCTCCTCCCACTTCTTTTTCTCTTCTTCCTTTTCCATTCTTCCCTGCATGCACACCCTCCACATTTTGGTATTTCTGGTTGTGGGAAGTATTTGATGCTTTGAATCGTCTCAAAAGACTAAAGAAAACATTCCTTGGCAGAGCTGTGTGTGGAGAGGTAAACGAATTGAGGGGCTGAACTCCTGCTTTTCCCATTTTGCTTACCCCCTTCTTCTAATCATTCCCTTGGCTGAGATTTAAAAAAAGGGAGAGGTAAAAAAAAAAAAAAGTTGTGTGTGCATGTGTATAGATTGTGTGTATACAGGGGGTTGCGCGCGCACCGGAGTCGCTCGCGTGGCCAACATGAGGGGGAACTTTTGTTATTGTGTGTAAGCTGGAGGAATAAGTTCGCTCTCTCTCCTCTCCCCCCCCCCCCCCCCTCCTCAGCTGTATGGTAATTCAGCCAGCACCTGCTCTCCCCTCAATAACAGCATGCGCGCGCCTCTCTTGAGAGCGCGCCCACACGTCACACACAAAACTCTCTCCCCTACACACACACACACACACACACACACACACACACACACACACACACACACACTATCACACAGACACACTTTTCACTTGGGTTTTTCACTTGGGTTAACTAACCCTAACCCTAACCCACATCTAAATAATCGGGCGTACGTCGAATGTATTGACATTTTCTTCTTCTCTTCTTTAAACACTGAAAACAATTCCTGTGCACGAGGAGAATAAACAATTAGTTGGCTCGTTGTGTAGGGTGTAATGTGCACGTGCATGTGTGCGCGCGAGTAAGAATAAGGAGCAATGGGTGGGGGTTGTTTCTTAATTAGGTCGTTCATTAGAAGTGTGTTTTTTTTTTTGCTGTATAATGGGAGCCGGTAGCCAGCTTTCACGCGCGGGATAGGACCCCTATACCGGGCACGTGAATTGCGTCACTGTTCAGATATGCACGTTGCAGCTGATGCAGCGTTTTGGGTGTTTTTTGTGCGCATCTTTTCGGTTTCCTCACCTGCTCTAAACACCCCCTTCAAACTAAGTGCCCCTGCTTTCCCTTTTCTCTTCCTCTTCTGAAGTCACGTGACATTGTTGATGTGTTTGTAGTTACTTATTACCTCCTAATCAATGGAATCCACAAACGAAGCCCTCCTCCATAAATAAACCTGTCCATCTCTCCTTTCTTCACCTCTCTATTTTTCCAAACCAAACGCCAGCTGAACTGTGACCATCACAATTAACCCCCAATAAAAACAAAGAGAATCAATTTTATATTCTCCTGGACAAAGCAGAACACTCTTAAGTCTTTGGTTGGAAATGAATTACAGCTTCAACAAAATCCATGTTGTATGACAAATCCCAGCATCTTTTATACTCTTCAAACTTATGCCCTATAGGCTACTTCACTTTTTTATTCGATCCTTGCCACTTACATCCCTAAATGTACAAATATAACCTGCTATATCTGAGATTGTTTAATTTTGGCTAAACCTCTATTCAAGTGGCTACCATTTGCCTCTGACTTCACATTAAGGGTAGGATTCTCAAATGCTGACTGCTGTTTTATAGACTTTTACATATTAAAGGGAATCTAAAGCTGTTTTCACAAATGCACTCTTTGAAATTTCTAAACACTCTGCCCCCAAAATCTTCATGAGTTGCATATGCCCGTCATAGCGTGAAGAGTTCCCTGTCAGAGAGCAGATAGGGAGTCTCAAGAGGTAAGACCCAATGTTAAAAAGATGCTGCCAAAATCCAAGATGGCGGACAAAGATACACAGCACAACACTACAATGACCTGGTGAGCAGAAAAGAGTATGAGGCAGCTATATTACAAACACCAAGATAGCACCTGTCACGCTCTGGTCCCTTGAAGAAGACATAAGTCCCCTGCTTCCTGCTTGGGAATTTTCTTGACTTTTACCAGCAGCAGGTTCACAAACACAACTTCACCGAAACATTTCTGGAAACTGTCAGTGGTTTTGTGCATGTGTGAAAAAACAGCTCTCAAATTGAATTTCTTCATGATGGATCAGCAACTGAAAATACATCGTCGCATTAGACAATGAACCATACAACTTGATAAATTAACAGCAATAATACAACAACACTAACAAAATAATTACCATAATACTATATTGCGACAGGAAATGTGTGAGTTACTCGCTTATTTTACTGTACCATAGCTCACAGCAGGGGTTGCATAACTTAATATAAATCAGCCTTATTGTCAGTCTATTCATTTAGGTATGACAGCAGAACGACACGGTAACACCATTTGAGCTTCCTGCCTCGTTGAGTGTGATGCTAAAGGAAATTGGCCACCATTGGATATTGTGAATTGGAGCTTAAGAATTAATTATAGTATATCATGTAAAATATGTCTGGATGTATTTGTGATTTGTTATCGGCATAATGTTTTACCTCTCTAGCTCCATGTATAGGATTGCCAGTCACATACAGTGATAGATTTGCTTTTTATTTCTTAGGCCTTTCTGTTGCAATGGTGGAATGTTATTTTGTGCAGATCCACTCTTAGTTTGAAAGAGCATTTCCACTTAACCTTTTCCATATAATTTGTTTTAGCCCTGAAATGATGCAAAAAGTTGTAAGGGAGTCCTTTGCAACTATAATGCCCTTTAACAGTTTTAATCCACATGCTGCCAATTGTGACACCATTAGAAAGCTAAATGTATACAAAGTAATACAAATTATAATAAGTAGTAGCTATGAATCTCGTAACCAACTCTATACCGGCAATTTAAAAAAATGGATTAGCAATAATTAACTGCGTCCTCAGATTCTACAAACCAGCCTTAAACATGGGCAATCCTGTTCAATTGGGAAATAGGGGAAATTAACAAACTATGTTAATTCTGGGATCACAAGATTTTGTGTTTTTTTATTTTCAGATTCAAACTTCACGTCCCGCACAGATAATAGAGTAAAAACATAATTTTCAACCTCAAAAACATAGTCAAAGAAGGACATTCACCTCCTCTGCCTGGCTTACTGAAAACGTTTGCTTACAGGTTACTCATGGGGTCGAATGTTTTCTTTCTAGCATCGTGACTTTGTGCAGGTCCCAGTAGAGCCACTGTATACCCAGCCCGACATTACTGGCCTAACAGATAAATTCAATGGTCTCACCACAAGTTTAATGTCACTAAATAAAAATACATATGGAAACTGGCAACAGTGGAGAACACATGTTTCTTTGTTGTGTTAATAAGTAATAGGGAGTTTTTAGGTTTACATTTTTGTTATGATTGCTTAAATGTAGGATGATGATGTTTTACCTAACCCTTATGGCCCTGCCATGTGCCTGTGCCCCAGAAAGCGTTCCCCTTTTTCACCCCTTATGGGCGGCCTTGGCTTCAAGGGAGAAAATCAACTAAGATACCCCTGCTCATTCAAACTCTGTTAACTGGAACACAGAGCTCATAAATCTCCAATTAGCTGCTCTGTACAGCTTTCTGTAAAATTAGGGACTGATTTTAAGGTCGTCCTCATACAGAGCTCTTCATGGGCTAGGACCTGGGAACACAGTACAATCAAATATTATCAATAGTCTTTGCAGTTTGTTTATAACACAGAAATCTAAAAATGTTTTAATTGAACCTAAACCTGAACACTGCAGCAAATTAACCGAACTAAAGTATAGGAAAAGTAAATGATTTGAGAATGAATAAAAACTCCACCAGAAGCTGAATCTGTCAAACTAATACCCTGCCCTGTTTGGACTCAGTTGTCTCCATAGTATACTTTGAGCTTCCCTTCCCCACTGGCCAAGATGCATGCAAGCTGAGCTCTGACTGTTTAACCAAAGTGCTACTGTAGGGGGCTTCTGTAGTTTAACTCCTGC